ATTTAACTATAAAGTTAAATTAGACTAGGAGAATGCTGTCAGCTACAGGCCCCTATATAAGATAAATACAGAAGAATTAGGAGCAGTGAGGGAATATATACTAGATAACCTCTATAAGGGATTTATTATATCCAGTAATGCTCCCTTTACTTCTCCTATTCTTATAGTAGAAAAGCTAGGTGGAGGACTATACTTCTATATTAATTACTATAAACTAAATACTATAATATATAAGGACTGTTACCCTCTCCCCTTAATTAATAAGATCTTAGAGTATATCTCCAGTGTGAAGATCTTCACTAAGCTAGACATCCGCCAGGGTTTTCATTAGATTTGCATAGATCTGGCCTTAGAGGACCTTACTATATTCCGCTCATAATATGACAGCTTTAAATATAAGGTAATGCCCTTTAGTCTCACTAATAGGCTAGCCATATTCTAGCACTTCATGAATAGTATTTTCATGGACTACCTAGATTAATACCTAATAGTATTCATTAATAACCTACTAATCTATTCTAATAATGAATTAGACTACCAGCTCCATATCTACACTATTTTATAGTATTTATAGGAGCATGGCCTATAAGCCTTAATAAAGAAGTATGAATTCCATGTAATGAAGATATAGTATCTTAGCTTTATTATCTTAACAGATAGTCTTAAGGTGGACCCAGAGAAGGTTATTATAGTATAAAAATAGAAGACATCTACTACTATAAGAGGGGTCCAGTCATTCCTAGGCTTTTATAACTTCTATTAGAGGTTTATATAGGAGTATAGTCACATTGCTAAACCCCTCATTGCACTAATAAGGAAGGATATCCCCTTTATATAGAATGATATTTATAAGAAGGCATTCTGCTATTTAAAGGCTGCCCTTATAGAAGCTCTGCTTCTCACCTATTATAACCTATCTTTGCCCATAAAGTTAGAGATAGATGCCTCTAATAAAGTAGTTACTAGCATGCTCTCTTAGTAGCAGGAAGGAGAGTAGCATCCTATTACCTACTACTCTAAGACTATAAATCCAGCAGAGTGTAACTATGGCATCTATAACTAAGAAATATTAGCTATTATACATGCTTTAGAAGAATAGTGAGCTAAGCTACAAGGCCTACAAAGAGCTAAGCTATTTAAGATTTTTATAGACTACCAGGCATTACAATATTTCATGCATAAGTAGTGACTAAACCCCTAACAGGCTTGGTAGAATAAGTTCCTGTCTAGCTTCTACTTCCTAATTACTTTTTAACCTAGGAAGCTCAACATACTGGCTAACACACTTTCCAGACTGGAATACCTAGAAGGGTTAGATGATTACTAAGTTTAGTTAATACTTTAGTTAGATTACCTAGACCCCTGAATCTTAGCAGCCATTACCCCAGCCTAATATTAATAGTAGATTAGGTATCTGAAGTAAATAGATAACATAACAGTCTCCAGCTTAGTAGGGAACTCATGCAGGTGGGAAGTGACTAGTGGGAACTTAAAGATAGACTCCTACTCTTCTAAGGACGCCTAGTAGTGCCTAACAAAGATGATCTATGTACTAGACTACTAGATAAGATCCATTAACCACCATCATCAGCACACCCAGGTAAGGCTAAGATGAGGCAACTTATCTGAGCTTGCTACTATTAGACTTCCTAGAGACAGGATATAGACTGCTATATAGATAATTACCTTATCTACTATTAAATAAAGATATGTAGGGACCCTCCACCAGGCCTACTATAACCTCTTCTAATCCCTAACTAACCTTAGTAATATATTGCTATGGATTTCTATTTATTCCTACACTCTAAGACAGGTTTTAATACTGCATTTATTATGGTGGACTAACTAGGGAAGAGAGCCTTTACTATTCCCTATTATAAGATAACTACTGCTCATGACATGGCGTGTCTCTTTATTACCTATATTTACCTGTGGACTGGCTTACCGGAAATAATTATCTCAGATAGGAGAGGTCAGTTTATCTTAGACTTCTAGGATAAACTATGTAAGGTCTTGCAGATCCACCTTAAGCTATTATCAGGATATTATCTATAGACTAATAGTTAAATAGAAGTCATGAACCAGTGGATTGCGTAGTAACTATAACTATTTATTAACTATTACCAGGATAACTAGGACTAGTAGTTATCTATCCTAAATTTCACTGCTGTAGCGCTCCCTAGCAAATCTATAGGGGTATTGCCCTTCTTTATTAAAAGAGGCTTTAAACCATGCATATCCTTTAACTAGTCAGCAGCTACCACCCCATCAGAGCTTAATATTAATCGCGAGTAAGCATAATAGATGGCTAAATGCATGGAGGAGATTTAGTTATATACTTATAAAGGAATAGAAGCTGCTTAATACTAATAGAAGTAATAGGCTAATAAGCACCGCTGTACTATTAATTTTGATATTAATAATTATGTCTTTATCACTATATCAGACTGGAAGGTTGATCATCCTAGTTAGAAGCTTGTTAACTAGCTTGCTAGACCATTCTGAATTGCTAAATATAAGGGCAATGCCTTCTAATTAGATTTGCCTGATTCTATAAAAATCCACCCTATTTTTACACCTAAGAAGCTTTATAAAGCCCCATCCACACCACCCCTGCTGGGCCAGCTTCAGGACCCAGCTCCCCTACTTAAGGTTAACAGCAAAGATAAGTAGGAGGTTAATAAAATACTTATATCCTAGCTCTACTATTGCAAGCTCTAGTACTAGGTAAGATAGCTTAATCATAATATTAATCTTTCCTGGTATCCGGCCTGAAACTTTAGAAACTCCCTAATATTACTCTGAGACTTCCACACCTAATATCCAGCCATGCTGGGCCCACTAATGCGCCTACCTAAATGGCTGCAAGCAGCTGAAGATGATGTATTCCTTAATAATCACCCAGACAACAATAGACCCTGAATAAGGGCATCCGGAACCTAAAGGGGGGGTAATATGATGATCTATCACTATATTCCCTGCTGATGTCCTTACACAGAGCTTTCTGCCCCTCTTAACTGCTTACTACTTTAGGGTTGTTTGGCTAGTTTACACCGCTCCGCCCTCTGTTTATAATATCTCCCCACCATATACATACTTTCCTTCTCTCTCTTCTCTATGCTTAGTTTTCTATCGAAATACTACCATACCATTGGAATATGAGCAGTGCCATCATACTAAGGACTTAGTGACTTTCTATTATTTTTCTATTAACTTCTTTTAGATCTTTTCTAAATGCTCTTGCAACTATTAAAGCTTAGGGTAGAGAAGCTCTAACTTATCATTAGTTGCAGATAGCTTAGAAGTAATCTTCTTTTTAGCTCTCTTCAAAATGTCCTACTCTTTTTTACAATGAAAATCTTTCTTACATAACCAACCCTAATGGGTACACAATGCATATTTTAAATAGTGATGAGTTTAATCCATTATATAAACCTCACCTAATAATACATAATAATTACAAGGAAAAGAAGTTATGAAACTGTTTTTAATAATATATTCTTCCTAGTAAATATGACCAGTGACTTGGTCATAGTTATAAGGAAGTTTAGGAACACCTTTAAGAATAGTATTAGTGTAATACTTAGGCATGATAAGTAAACATAGTTTAGAAATGAAAAACACACCTACCTAGGGAAAGCACTGCCTTTTAAATTAAGTTTCAAGGATGAAACACTAAGAGAAGGGGAGGTGATGTTATGGCACTAACACAGCTGCACTAGTACAGGGCAGGTATAACAGGCAGAAACCTAAGGATTAATGATCACCAGTCAATCCCAGAGTAATCAGGACATAATCTAGAGAAATACTTAATCTAAATAAATTTCTATAGAAAAACAGTTTAGTAGGGCATGACTGAATATATTTCCTGACAAACCATTATTATGTGACGTGGTAGATGGGTATACAGAATTAATAATAGAAGGGTATTATAATCATCTACCATTCTATCACTATACCACATATCACCACTATCACCTGGAAGAACTATAGATATATAAGGATATTTATTATTATTACATCTAGCACTCTTAGTTTAGTTCCTTGTATTTAATATAAGTTATTCACTTAAGTATAAGTTCACTAGTCTGATTCATTAGTTACTCTCTTACTATTAAGTATACATACTCAATAGGCCTTGCTTCTATCTCTACTATTATTATTCTTATGTTACCTTTGGTTGTCCTTGATCCTATTCAGATTGTTGTATTGTTGCATCGTTAGGCTACCCGGTCGGTAGGCCTTAAGCAAGTATCGGATATAGTCCAGGGACTATATCACCCCGTTCCCAAAGTAGTTGACTAGCAGAGAACAGCAGAGACGGATCCCAGGGTGTGACAAGAATGTCTGTAGATTCATATTAAATTAGTAGTCCTTTATGCTCTAGCACTGAGGTTAAGTTAATTAGACATTCCTAAAGATAGCGGGCATGGAACTACATGTAGTAGTATTAATTAGTTATACAACACTATTATATTTATAGCACTCCCAGCCATTACCCTGTAAACTAGTTTATGAAAGCTATCCCACAGTAACTAATATCACCAATACTAAGATCACAGTGTCATGGGCTAGAATATCTGAGTCCGAGGCTAGCTAAATTGGCGTGCTGGAAGTGGGGTCTCCCTTTCTTGGAATTATAGTACGGGGCATAGGAGTTAAGGTCTGGTTTGTTAGTGTCGTGAATCAAGGCTTGATCAAGTAGATAATAGAGCTTCATATCTCATAATGCGGAGGTCACTGATTTAATATAGGGAGACCAGTGGGTGTGCGACCTTAGTAAGGAAGCTGTATAACCTTGTATTAGTCTTTGCGGGAAGATTGTTTCCTGCCACTGGAGTAGAATATGTTTGACGCATTGACATGCCTGTGAAAACGGAAATGCATCATTTTTAAAGTCTCGCCAACCCTCGCCGTCCCATCTAAATGTTAGGATACTTTGTACTATTGTTTTTATTTCATTTCTGAGAAAAGCGTCGATGGACGTGATCAATAAAACTATGTCAAATCGCAACATTATTGCACACCATGAGGAGGTCGCGCCTATCGAGAGGACAAACCTGTTCTCAGACTCTGAATCTACTCGTATCCTAAACCGACAGTTAGTTCGGAAACTGGACCGTACCCTGTTGCCGATCTTGTGGCTGATGCATACGTTAAAGAACTTGGACAAAGGCAATATTTCGTGTGTCTAGCGCACCCAGTTCTCCTGGACCTCCTACAACTGACTTGGATACTAGTCAAGCAAAGCTGAGCACCTTCGAAAGCGACTTAGACTTACATGGGACGCAATATAACACGATTGTCTCAATGGCGTCAGTCGGGTAAGCCAGCTATAGCACATAAACCGTGTGTATTGTCAATGTTTGACCTGGCCAGATATATACCAATGATGATTCCCAGCAACATGCTCTTGACTCGAGCCAAACCGTCCCTGTATCTCCCATCCTTCGCTGTCTTGTGGTCAGTGGTAGCTACAGCAACGGCTGCTTCACAGACGTTTTCGCAGGCTGCTGCGATGCGGTTCCTCCTGGGCTTGTTCGAAGCTCCCTTCACTCCTGGGGCACTATGGCTCCTATCCCGCTGGTATACGAAACGGGAGATGGCGCTACGATATGCCATCATGTACCTAGGGTATATACTCTCGGGTTCATTCGCCGGTTTGATTGCAGCCGGCGTCTTTTCCCGGTTTGAGGGCTATCAAGTTATGGGCGGTTGGCGCTGGCTGTTCATCATCGAGGGACTCCTAAGTTTAATAGCTGGGATGATTGCATTTGCTGTACTGCCCGACACACCTGACGCTTCTTCGGGCCCGGTGAAGTGGCCCCTTAATGCTTCTGAGCGAGAATGGGCAGTTGAACGCATGCGTCGCGATCGGGTTTCGTACCGGAAGTCCGATGGATCTGTCTGGCTTGGCCTTCGACTTGCTCTGCTAGACTACAGAGTGTGGATGCTGGTAAGTCTGTAACATGCTCTTTGCGCACTTGCTGGAGCTAAAAAAAGGAAGGCGCTGGTTGCCTGCACCCAAGGCTCAACCGCAGGTTATACCAGCTTCTACCCGGAAATGGTCAAAAGCATGCATATCGGAGATACGGTTGTTACGCTCCTCTGTACCGTTCCTCCCTATATACTTGCCGCGATTGTTACACTGGTGGTCGCTTGGTTAAGCGACCAGTTCCGCAGCCGTAGTGTGCCCATTGCCGCTTCGATGACGGTGATGATCGTGGGGATTGTGGTAGAAATGTGTACGTCGCGATCCGGGGTGCGATACTTGGCCTCGTTCCTGTATATCACTGGGTGCAATTCTGCCTTTCCGCTTCCGCGGGCGTGGGTTGCTACTGCGGTTAGTCAAACACCTGAGAAATGCTCCTGCGCGGCTGCGATCCTCGAGGTGATTACGGCGTTGAGCTACATATGGAGTGCTTATTTCTTTCGCAACGAGGATGCGCCGCGTTACCGTTCCGGCATGATCCTACTGATTGTGTTTGCGGGTGCGTGTCTGCTTAGTGCTCTAGGGATGCGATGGGTGCTACGCCGGGATAATCGTAAATTACTGGAGAGATATCGAGGCACCGGAGTGGTGCCTGTGCTGCATCCCACATAATGTTGGGCTCAGTGTTTTGTACCCACGTAATGTATGTCCAAATTAATGATCTGCCGTGTTCGGGAATCTCGCGTTACTAAAAACTCGCAAATCTTAACCAGCAGTATGACACTGTAACCAACACAATGGTGCGTTCGCAGATAGGAGATTTATCAATGTATGCCTTATGCTCTGTGTGGTATGTGCACAGCTGTTGCGTATCTAGATTTCCCAGAACAGTAGCCATCTAGCTGTCGACTTGGATGATTACTGTGCGCGGATCGTATGTCTATCCCTGCATGTCAGGAGATGAGAGGCTTCATAGCCTCTTCAAAATCAAATCAGATCCAGTCTAATTTGGGGTGAGTTTCACTCCAAAAACCCAAAGTTATTCTTGATGGAAATAATTATTGGGTTAACAAACCACCACACTTTTATACCAACCCCTAATAGAAATAATTATTCCTATCCACCTGCTAAATTAAGAATAAGTTGAACCATGTTCTTGCAAGTTGAGCTAGCCTAAGCAAAGAATAGTAAAGAGCTAGCTGCAGTGAGATTTTAGCCCTTGATCAATTTGCCTGATTGGTTCCCTGGTGCCTGATGTCTCATGATTCGACATTCTGCACTCGACTCAACCCACGTGTAACAGATTAGGTAAGTTTTGCATGAGAGGTGGAACCACACCCGCAAATATTATCTTAGTTCAAGCCCTGACTTAGAATAGGCTTAGCAATCTATTTATATTTATTAATAACTCACTAACAAGCTAGCTTCCCAGAGATCTAAGCATGAGAGCTCACTAAGGAGAAATTTGCCCTTATATATAATCTCACCTTGCTCTGTTAAATAACCTTTAAGATATTAAGTCTCTATTACTTACCCCATAGCCTTCAACCAGCTCCTTTAGATAGTTATAATAGATCCCTTCCTATTAGAACCCTACTACTCCGCACGCCTCCTTTATTATATGCTAGAGGATAACCTAGCAGATAATATATTCTTCTAAGCTCTCTATGCTAACCCCTTAGTTAGATCTATGGCTACTACTGCCCTTATACACCCACTCAGCATAAAGGAGTAGAAGGAGTTATGAGAAAGGCTTACTAGTGTATTTATATTAGTTATAATATATATCATCCCTAAAGAGGGCTCTAATAAGGTGCCTAAGATAATTAGTATAATCTTATTAAAAGAGTAAGCCCCTAGCTTTACATATAATCATATATATAAGTTAGCAATTACTATTGCGCGCTAGTACTAAGACAAGGGGTATGGTTCTGAGGCTATCTTATAGATGCTAGACTAGGCTTTTCTAACTGCAGGCCTACACTGAGTTAAGCTAATAGTCTCTAAGTGGAATAAAAGAGCATAAAAGGTGTACTAAAAGCTTGGGTTTGTATCTAAGGGACAGAAGAGGTAGTGTGTATAGAAAGGTGGGAGGTGGTGGGATTTACTCTATATAGGTATTTTAGTGCATGAGTAAGAGGTGAAGAAGGCTGCTAACTCCTGAAATGCTGATGAGTAAATATGATAAATAGGAGATATTTAGTAAATAAGATAGTATTAGCCCTAATAAAAATTTTGCATATCCACTATTATTGTATAAAACAATCACATAATATAAATGGATGAATGAATGGATGACACCACTGCCTGAAACTAAAATATTTAACCTCTCTTAAAGACCTAGACCCATTAATGATCAACATACATCCCAACTCTAATAAATAATTGTACTCTAGGTATACAGCTCGCCGTGTCCATTCCATGCCTCATTCTGCGCTCTCCTAATGATGCACTTTGCCAGCTACAGCTTGCTAATAATCGGTCTAGGCTGCCCAGTGCATGCAACTCTGGAAAACTGCTGATCGTCAGCACTTGCACATTAATATCATGGACAATTGCTCGCTCTCCCTGCCGCCCGTTCAGCAGAGAGGTGAATGAATGATGCTTTGCTGAAGCCCCTGGCGAGCTTCTCGCGATGCACCTGTATGACATCAGTTACTTCTCCTCGCGGACTGTAAGCCGAACATAACGAAGGAACTACCTGCATCGCCAATAATGTCAGCCTGCTAGACCCACCTGACAACCCCGTCTGGAATCGGTTTTGGTTCATTTAAACTCAGCCTGCGAATCAAAAGCAACAATGTCAAATGGCTTTTGAGTCCCGTTTGGTCCCATAGACAGCGCATGTGTTACAATCTAACTTGAGATCCCTATAAAGGATAGTATGAGTTCAATATTAATGCTTATGAGGCTTAGGCATAGTTGCCATAAAATTAGCTAAGTTCAAGATAAAGATTCCAAGAATATAATCTAGAAAGAAATCACCCTGCGGTCAATCCATTGCATATATGTCATTGTTTTAATCATCTACTGAGTAGGAGTTGGCACAATACAAAATTTACCTACTTGAACAAGCCTTCACGGATGTAGCGCTTGCAAAGATGTATGGATGTATAGGCTGTGGTATCGATTAATCAAGAATTTTCCTCAACTTATTTTGTCAACAATAAATGTTAACCCTTGTATAATACAGTGTGCTTTTACCCGGATACGACTATAGGGTGTAGAGTACAGGGCTTCCTGTTCGCTTGGCTATACAGCCTATACAGCATACTTAACCTTACTATAGTACACGGTTGATTCTTAATGCACCCTAAGCTCTAAAATAACGTTAGGTCTGATCTTAGGGTAAGTATAGGTAATATAGGTAGCTAAGAAGAGAGTAAGATGAGGTAAAGGTAGGGCTAGAATTCTAGTCCAGAGTCAAGAGAGTGTTTCTTGGGAAGTTCTATCTTCCTCCTCTGCGATCAGTCTTATATACAGATTTTCTCCCTTAGCCAAAGTAAGGGGTAAACAGCAGAATAGGATAGATCACATAGAGGGATAGGGTTGTGCATAAGGGATTTTGTTCAAGCTTTTGTTAGAGAACAGGTGCCGAAATGGGGGTAGCTCACCGCCGATCCCCTACCAGGCCTAAAACGGTTGAATAGAAAGAAGTCTGTATGTTCGATGTTGATCTCAGATACTACAGCTTCCAGTCCTTCCGAGCGCCTCTTATATACCCATTTTTCCTAAATTTTCCGGGTTCAGACATGTGCCATCAGCACTCAACGATGTAGGTTAATGTCTCGCCGAGGGGCCGTCGTAGATCTACCTGGTAAAGATAAGGTGGCGGAGTATCGCTGACTGGAAGCGTGTATTTGACCAACTGGGGCCACATGAGTGATTCCAAAGACAAGTGAAGCCAATGAGACATGTAACTAGTGGTTTCGTCAACCCTGCAGGCTACTACTATCACAGACCCTCAAAAGGAGGACGATCTCTTCGGGGCCGTGGCGGAATCCTTGGGGCGATGAGCTTCGTTCAAGACGGTCAAATATCCTTGGGGCACTATCTGTGAGGCTTACTGCCACCGTTCTCTATCCATGTTGGATCCAGGAATGCGGAGGTAGACCAAAAACTGGAGCAGTTGAAGCGAGCAGCTGGTGTTGAGTTAAGGCCCGTGGGTGGAAGCGGGCGATGAATTTCTATGCGCAATTCACTCCTGATGGAAAAGTATCCAAGTCATCAAGACGAGCTACAATCCCATTTGGTGTGCAAACTTTTGTCCACCGCAAAAGAGACTATCTGACAAATATGGGCATTTCGAACTGAAGAGTTTGATTTTGGTGTATGGCAATTTTCGCGTGCAAAGTTGTCTCTAATTTACAGGACGTCGCCTGGCATACAAAGCTCTATTTGGCGTACAATGCACATTCCGAATTTGATGAGAGAGGCTAAAATGACTCGCCGGAGGTTCCATCACGTGTCTTCTTGTTGGCATTGAAGCAAGCATCAAATCTCGGGGCGGACCCGGGGGCGGGGCGGTTTGTGTGCCAGATTCAATTCGTGAGCGGCCTATAAGCAGTCAGCGGCTCGAAAATCGCAAGACTCATCTAGGTATTGATAGGCTCAGAAGAAGAATGATGTGGCGGAGTCCCACGTGGAGTGGTGAATGTTGGCCATGATTGAGCAGCAAAAACTCGTTCTGCTGCGTCTCATGGCACGATAAAATCACTGGCCTCAGGAAACAGGACCTGGCTCCCTATGCCAGTGCGAGCAAGTCAACATCCTGTTTCATGACACAAGCTCAGACAGTAGTAACAAAGACAGTCTTGAATCAATGCACCCAGAATGCAATTTCAGGCAAGACTTCAAACATTCAGGTCCTCAACAAGTGTACCAGTGTCTGCTTATCAAACCGTGGAACTCATTGTTAAAAAGCTATGAGTTGAGTTTCGAATACAGAAGCAAACAATACACGTGTGAATCATGATTCTGGCGGTTTTACTCAGACTCGTTACCACCCGCGTCCAAACGTGGTCGACTTATAGCTATCGTCTTCTTCTTTGTGCCTTAACTGTACACCGCAATCTATATACTACATATCTCGAAATACAAACTGTCCATCGTTTTCGTGTATCCCTGATCAAGGCTTTTAGCAGTTGTCCCGAGTGAATCGAATCACATAAATAGGCGTTCGCTACCAATGAATGACAATGATAAATCAGAGAGTTCTCAACGACCTTGGGCATAGAATTTAGACCTCCAATGCCGCGGAGCCCTTATTCTTGAATGACCATCTTTCAGGCTTTGGAGATGGAATAGCTATTTGGATACAAATTGCTGCTGTGATGGCCGTTTGCTATCTCAACCATTGCACCAAGGTATCATATGGATCCGCAGTAAATCTAGCAATGAAACATAGTACTCAAAATATTTTTCAGGCTATGGGGGTCGCGCTTCATGATACTTGCCAAGTAAGACCGAGCTCTGGTATAGCATGGTATGTGGCAAACCCTAAAGCTTTCCCTAGAGCTTTGCGTTACCCCAATAGTCGCTTCATAGCTACTGAGATCACGGAAAATAAGGAATGAGTGTCCGACAAAGAAGCAACATGTATGATTTTAGATATCCGCGAATTCTTAACATTAATTCCATTGCGCAGGAGGAACATCCTACCGACCGCATCTGCCATGTATTGCGAGGAGACGGTAAAGGTAAGACAATTGGATCTAATTCTTCCATTTACAGGAGCAGACAACATAGACCGCTCCGATGGATAATGCTTTCCATCTTCTGCAGCTAGTCACTAAGTTATCTAGCCACTGATCACTAATTATGGGCCTCGAGAAGCAGCAGGCAGAGGCTTCTGTCCATGGTTGAGATGCACTGTTTAGTGTGTGTAAATCTGCAAGTTTATAGTAATATATATCATTTAGCTTTGCTTCGAATCGTAATTGTCGGCAACATGTCATGTTATATGCTATGCACATTATGGCAAGGGAGCAAACACAGAGAATAAGTGGATATTTGAAGAGCCAAAAAATGATAAGTGCAATTTACGGTTACTTTACTTGCATGATCTCAAGAGAGGATAACGAAGGGGACAGGGTAAGGGAGTAGGATAGAAGTGATTTAGGAGCCAAGTTATATTGAGCTTCTTAGAGGATATACACAGAAAGATACAGATGATTCTCCTCTCTGGCGATAGATACATCAAATTAGAGGCTCGAAGAGAGTTAGACCTCCCCATCCGACAAAAACTTCTCCACTTTCCTCATTTCGAAGGCGCCAGCCTCATTCGTGAATTTCTCTGGGTAGCCGAAGAACAATGGATAGGAAACGTCTGGTTCAGCATTTAAGAGAGTACCTTGGAATTGTTCCGAATCGGTATGATGGATTCTGAAATCGTACCAGGTCTTGTTCTTTGGCGGGAGGGGCCCATGTTCGTCAAACTCGACAGGGAACACGCCCGGTGGACATTCATAATAATAGCTCATGAGAAGAGTCCCGTCCTTAGCACTTCTTGCATCTGCGATGGTGACAATTTCCTGTTCGATGAAATTGTATTTGGTGGGTTGGCGCCACTTGTCTATGGCCCAGTTCTGGCATTCCTCTTTAGAGGCGTTGATGAAGTCTGACTCGAAAAATTCACCATCTTGTAAACCTGATCTGAAATGCTCCTGTGAATCTGGGCAGACTCTCGATTCAACAAGATAGTACCAATAAGGAAAGTCTTGTGGCTCTGTACTGAATTCGCGTAAGGCCTTAGGTACGAACTAGTGATTTCGCGGTCAGCCTCGATTTCTTCGGTCCGACCTCCAACAGGCTATCATCGTGGCACCTATAATCATAACACACTAGACTTACAGGCTTAGCGTCTTCAGCAATACAGAAGAACAAGGCGCGTGTCATCCTAGGGTCTTTATGCTATCGACGAAATGAGGTTTAAGGGCATATGACGGCTTACTTTCCAATAGGACCAGACTTTATAGAGTCTTTATATAGATTCTAAACGGCGAAGATACGATGACGTCATACCTGGTCTACAGAGTACCAGATAGAGGGACGAAGGAATTGGGATAACTTGCAAATTAATAAAAAGCGTTGGCAAGCTGGTAAATCTGATTGGTAGGTAGCAAACTGGCTCTGGGGGCCGCTCCAGCCTACATACAGGCTTCCGCCCTCCCTGCCCGCACCGCCCGACTGAACTCATAGTATATACCAGGTATAGAGTACTACATCTATCGAGGATCTAAATTGAAACTAACAAAAAAGCTAAAATTAATCATAGACTACCTGAACTACTGCACTTTTATTACTATAGAAACTGTTTATTACCGGCCCCTTACAAACAATACCATATTTTCCGGACCCTCGCCGCTACACAAATAATATTACTGTAATGATAGGTTGCCTCATGGTAAATTCTAGAGTCAACTAAGTTTCTGCCAGATCGAGGCAGACGCAGATCTTGGGTTGTTCAACCTTGAATATATCATCTACCTGTCAGTGGTGTGGGTTAAATTATGAAGGAAGAGAGATTTCCCCAGTTCTCAGAAGCATCTTGGAATCCTCATCCCCGCCGTTTGGCCCAGAGCCCGAAGTGGCTAGCGCCTGAGGATGTTGGAGTCCGATCGGTCCGCGATCGGGACACAGGATTTAAGGCCCTCCTTTGAGTCCCCAGTCTGAAGCTCTCCAAGATTTAGTTTTATATTATCAGTCCATAATAATTTAACTAGAGTTGCATTTGGTGTGGGTTTGGGCAGGTTCAAGCCTAGTTGGCCCCGAACCGCTGTGATTTCAGGTTCAAATTTTAGAACCTGCAGCCAACCTGGACCTAATCCAGTTTGGTTACAGTTTTCACTACAAAACCAGCTGCTAGGCCTAGCTAGGCTGATCATAACTAACAATGGTTAGATTTGGGTTGGTTTTGGGTTGATTAAACTATAAATTTTAACTATTTAACCATACCATTCCTCCCTCCAGGGGGTCCTTAACAGGGCCTACTAAGCATCCCTATATAAAATTTTAAATTTATATGAAATATATGGTATTTATAACCATTCTAATCTATATTAGAAATATCATATTTGATATCTATAGGGTTGAATGGGTGGTGGTTAAAAATTATATAAAAGGTATAGTAGTTATTAGACCTTAGTATCCTTATATATATATCTCTGCACCACTTTCATACCAACCTATGACAGAGATGATTATTCCCTTATATCTTAATAACCACTATGTATTTTCTAATAATTTTGGCATCATCAGATAGCCCCTAATTCAAGCTATCTAGTAATATCAAAATTATTAGAATATCTATAGAATTCAGTGATTTCTAGGTAAAACAGTGTGGGTTGGTTAAATAGGTTAGTTAAAACTGCAAAAACCATAACCAGCAGTTTTAACTGAACCTGAAATAGTTCTGGGGTAGAGAAACTAAACCTGAAATGGTTCCCTAGGCTTACCCCCGAACCTGCACCTCTGTAAGGTCAGTGAGGGTTGGTTGCGGTTTTTGCGGTTCGGTTATGCAACTCTACTTATACTGTATGTATTGAAGGCTGAAAGACAATCAACTTGATTAAATGAGTTCTCTTGAAGGGAGTGTATTTTTAATATGATTGTGGCCTAAGCAACAGGGCCATGACAAAGGAAGAAGGAAGAAGTACTTTTACTGAAAGATCTCAATCTTGCATCAACATTGTGTTATTCTTCACCAGTCTTGCAGTAGCTACTAACATAGACTCTGAAATCTCTAATAATAAGTATTAACTAGAGTCCCGGTTACTATACTGCTCATTTCCCTCGATAACCTCTAAGGTAGGACGGGGACTGAGGTAAACGGCGGCAACTATGGCACAGGTGATGGAGATGGTCGCTATATTGCATCAGCGATATATCTATAAATAAAAATAACGTCGAGGAGGAAGCAATACCCAGTACACACTGTAGTTCAAAGTAGCCGAATCTCTCCATCACGAACCCTGCTAATATGGGCCCAACCAGCAGACCCATAGTCCAACTCATGCTAGTGATGGCGACAGCTCGAGAGTAGCCTCCGTACATTCCAAAAATGCCCGGTTGACATTCTTCTAGCTTATCAACAGCTTCTACGCACAAGGTTAATTAACACTATATTTTATCAAAAGAGAACGCAGATAACCCACCAGTCGCTTCCATTGCCCCTACTCCACTCAGTAAAGACATAAGACATCCAGTCGTGGCCAAGGAGCAACTATAGATGGCCTTGTCTTTAATTCCACCATTAAACCACGAAAAGCGCTCGTCGCCCGCTGCCCCCGAGAGCAAAAAAAATGGTGCCATGGACAAGAACGCAATCGATGTTGGGGTTCGCGATCCCCAGCGGTCTTTCCAGTATCCAATTAGGGGTGCCAGTATCATTCCTGGGCCTTGAACAGCGGCAAGGAGGAGACCGACAGGAAAGGCACCCCATTTAAATGCCTCCCATGAATGCAAGGGGATGGTAGCTTGGAAGCTGGCGATATATACGGCATATATAGAGTAGCAAATGATACCTGCTGCAAAGCGACTCTGGCGAAAAAGACGGACGTAAAATCGCCACCCAGTTGCTTCTTCGACTGGGACTAGCGGTGCATCTAGCAAACGGGAGTCCTCCGTAACTTCGGGTTCATCACTAGATATTTGTGCTGGGGCAGGACATAACGTGGTTAGTGGACTTCTTTCTTCTTCTTTTCCTTTCTGTATCTATGTATCCGCGACACTTACTCTCTCGTGGTGCTTTGGGACGGTCAATCAACAAAACACGCATCAAGACATCCACGACCAGGAAGACAGCTGGTCCCACCCATGCAGGCCAATACCCGCCAAGCCCGAAAAGAAACCCGGCAAGCACTGGACCTGCACATGTCCCCGCTGCAGTTAAGGTTGAGGTTAGCCCTGCAATCTTGCCCATATGCTCACTGCCGACACTCTCGACCATCGTTGCGACACCCACGATCCAGAGGCCATTGCTGGTAAAACATTGGAAAAATCGACCGATAAAGAGCCCGGCCACTATCATCTGGCCGGTAAGTGTGAGAACAATCTCCGAGGTACGATGACGTACACGACTTTGTAATTGCAAGACCTAAGACACTGGCAAGCGTCAACATCCGCAAACCGAGTAGCAAGGCCTTCTTTGACTTTGCCCGGTCGGCCACATGCCCAATGAATGGGCTGGTTATGATGGCGACTAAAGCGCCTTCGGCAAGGAAGATTGATGTGTATGCTTGAACATGAGATGCTTGAACCCCAAGGCGCTGTTCAAAGATGTAAGGAAGCAAGGGTACCATGAATGAGAAAAGGAGCTCATCTGCAGCAGTAGTTCTATTAGACATGACAGCTGCCAAGTGCTATAGCAAACATATTAATCACATACCCGTAAAGAGCGCCATGGACATCGTGGCTGTGGTAAACTTGTTAGAGGATCGCAAGTCACCCATCCATGGCTCCTTGCTTCTCTCATTGTCCAGCAAGGGCGAAGAGCTCATTCTACTCAATTTCGAGTCCTGTCATTAAGCTATAAGACGTATAGAAGTTCTAGAATTCTGTTTGGCAGGCGGCTAAGTCTAAAGTGTCAAGAAGTCTGTGATATATTCTTTGAAAGCCGCAAACAGAGGTTGCCATTTATATGTTGATAAGAGTATTTCAACAGTTACGTCATCGTAAAACTGAAGTAGTAGTATACTGTTAACTTGGAATGTGGTAATGGAGTGCCCGGTTGACCCAGCCTTTGATCCAATTATCACTCTAAAAATTCTGAGAGCCAAGCTTATGTACCTCAGCCTCCTGCCATCCACAATGTTACCAAGATTTGGTCACAGCAAGATCTAATAAAGCAAGGGGAAACAAAACCCAAGTTTTCATGCACGCACATATGGGTTAGGGTTTACCTCAAGTTCTATGTCACTCTATAATTGCCTGGTTGATGCAGACGACCTTATCCCTATTCATCATCATTACCCACCCATATCATTGTCATTTGGGTGTAAAGAACCACGTAATTCTCGCTATTAACTATGCGAGGCAACAATAAGAATGTCTTAATGAAAGGTTCCAGCCACCAGGGGATACTGCAAAGAACTGTGACCTTCCTTTGTGTTCGGGTGGCCAGCGATGGGGAGATACGGGTAATGTAACCGATCATATAAATTCATCTCATCCATCTTCTGACAGATCTCCCAGTGGACGCCCCCACGTGTTGACGCAGGCATGTCGTCCCAATGGAGGACGTTGCGGACTGTGTTACCATCACGCCGTGGATAGTAGGTCGCATTGATTCTCAACTCGCCATCACGCACGAAGTTGCTGTACAGGTCAATCGTGTTCCGGGCTTGCTGGAAGTAGTTGACGGAGGCGAGCACACTACTGCTGATATTGGCATAATTGGCTGAGCCGAAAAGGATGGGGATTTCAGCGGCATGACAGGCACGCTTTGTGCCACTGCCACAGATTAGTCCCCGAGAAATTGCGGTAGACCGATATCCCATGACACTTCCCAGACGTTGCGGTTATGCCTCTCCAAAAACCCTGCATAGATCTCGCTGCTACATCGGTAACTAAGATCTGTAGTAAATTGAATGAAGGGGTCGGTAACATCAGGCGCATGGATCAATGACCGGTTGAACCCTAACTCCGGCGTATCTAGCACTTCTCTGGTGCGGTCCCCACCCAGGAGAAATGTGGCCAGAAACTCAACCGCCGTTGAGTACTTTGCCGGTCCGTCCTTAAATGTCTCATTGGCCTGCAAAATCAATCCGAACTCGTCCCGGGTGTACGTGACAAGTGTTGGAACCTGATGGTAACGACCGTTCTCCAGCGCAGTAACCCAATCCTCCGTGATCAGATCATCATCAATAAAGGGCCGGAAAGGCTCGATAAAGTTGACTTCCCCCGAGGGAACGCTTCTTGAGCCTTGGAGAACAGCCGGTCTTGGCATTCTAGAATCTCCCCCATCGTACGATTGTTTTTCACGCAATTTAGATCGTCACAACCGGCTAGGTCAAGAAACATTCGTGTGAGGCGGGCCTGCACGTGCGGCCTTTGCCAACCTGACCATGTACTTCCAGACTGAACAATGGCACGGGCAAATAGGCCTTTCGCAGAGGCTGTCTGGAGGAGAGACATCACCGCACTGCCTCCCGAGGACTCACCAAAAATCGTTACCCGTCCAGGATCGCCACCAAACGATTTGATGTGCTCCCGAACCCAGTCCAGAGCCATTAGTTGGTCCCGCATAGCTTGGTTGCTTCCAATATCTGATGGCATAGATGGATCAGAGAGAAATCCCAGAACACCGAGGCGATAGTTCAGGGTGACCACCACCAATGGTCGGCGAGTTGGAAGGTTCATTCCAAGATAAAAAGGAAGGGACGAGCCACCGTAATAATTTGAGCCCCATGAATCCAAAACACCACAGGTAACAAATGAGGGGACTCGTTTTCAGGAAGCATTGGGGTGTAAATATTCAGATACAGGCAATCTTCGGATATAGTGTAATTTGGGCTTGGGAGGTCCGGTGTAGCGTTCGGAGCCATGTCTTGCTGTTTCAAATGTCAGCTCCACGGTACTACGTGCTCTTGTTGGACCCTTAATCGGGCAACGTACCGGACAGAGCGCTCTGAACTCTGTAGCATCATATGCCAATTCCTTTTCTCGTCCGAGTAAGCTGTGCAATCTTTCTGGGTTCTTCAGTCGACGCTCGTCTATTGGAGGTTTCGCATAGGGAATCCCCTGGAATCGTGCCGTCAAGCGGTCTCGGAACCCCTTAATAAGGCCTTGAGAGGTATCAACGAATACATGGCGACTCGTAGACGGTGGACTGACGCCAATCTGATATCCTGCACTATTGGTGCAAAGAGCGCGAATGCGACGGGTGCACTCGATGCTCGAGGGTTGATTATTCGGCAGACTGTATGCTACGCAGGCCCCGCGGTTTCCTTCCAACCACATGGGATAAGATTTCTCCTCATCCATAGCTCTCAGGTGCAACAAGAGCAACGGCTGGAAGAAAGGCACATCTTTGACACCTGCCAGAACCTCCCCCAGTGAGTTACAAGCCGCAGCAGCGTGTTCATGCGTTCGTGCTTCGCGCAGCAACAGATAAGAAGGGCTGGATTGCACAGCGGCCGGTTCCTGCAAAATGAGACTGTCAGTAAACATGATATATGATTCAACGATGGGCAGTAGATACTAGAGTATTATTCACGAGCACAGTGAAGGCTGGCGATTTTGGTATTCTAGCTGATCCAACCCCCGAAAAGAGTAAACATTGGACGAGAACAACGCACAAGTATGACAAACGCATTTTGCCTTTTTGACATATGTTGATATGTGATTTAGCCGTCCTTTCATTGACAAGACAGCGGATTTAAAAGGCTAGGACATGTATATACAATTACACGAATGAACAGCATCATGGATTCTGGAGGAAAGGCGGAACGAACAGCTGCAAATATTCTATACGTCATCATTCGCTGACAGAACTACATAATTTGGAGTAAAAGCGATTGTACATGTCTGAAGGCAGTGGAGCAGGTTCAATTTAATTTGAAATCGTTTCCAGATGTCACCCAGTCCCACCCAGTTCCACCAAGTCACACGGACTGGGCCGCCGAAGCATAACTCAAATTCTTCTTTTCGTCGAGCGTGGATCGGAATGCAGCTGTGCATCCCTGAGTAGGGGCCCCAAAGTACCATTCAATGCTATTCCTGCCTCATCTTGTAAAATTCAACCAAAGATTTGATCAAAACCCAGAGATTGTTGGCGAATCGGGCTACGAGAGCACTTCCGCATCGAGATAAGATCTTTCACCCGTCTACGATTTTATGTCGTTGCTCCGCTTAACAGGGACACCGGCGCTGCTTGGCACGTAGATGACACGTAGATTGAGCGAACTAGTGATGTAGTGACATCACAGCATTGAATGCTAGGTTTCCCTTTCTGCGTCCGAGTCATCATTCGCGGAGTGACTATCCAATAAGTCCAGTCTGGGGTATTCATTACGTCGAAAGGTTGCATCTCAAACCCAATTGCGAAGCTCAAGTCTCACATAGTAAGCGCCGTTTGCAAACCCTCGAATGTCGCAACATTTTCTATACATGATGAACTGGAGGGACCAGTAATGGTATACCCTGTTGAACCTTTAAGAAACCATTTCGACCCCCAAGTTTTCTCCCTAGAATCTCAGTTCACGACACATTACCCAGAACTGCTGGAAAATGAAGTCCCAGTCCACTTTTCTTTTCACATCGGAGTCTGTAGGTGAAGGCCACCCGGACAAGATATGTGACCAGGTGGCCGATGCCGTCCTCGACGAATGTCTCAGGCAGAATCCCCTGAGCAAGGTTGCCATAGAGGTTGCCGTACGGCCCGGGCTAGTGATTGTGTTTGGCGTTGTCCACTTCATCTCCCGATTGGATATCGATGCCATTGTTCGCTTCGTGCTGAAAGACATTGGGTACAGCAGCCCAGACCAGGAGTTGGACTATCAGACGTGCGAAGTCATGGACTTTGTGGAGCTACACCCATCGCCGTTTAAAGGCATATCCTCTGGCCTTGAAGCACCCGACAACGAACCGGCAGGCGACCAGGTAAAGCGCTCTGTCGATCCTTCTGACAGATATTGGCAACGCAACTAAACTTTCGGTCTTCATATTCCAGGGCATGGCTTTTGGATACGCAACTGACGAGACCGACCAGTTACTGCAAGTTCATCCCATCGGAAATGAGGTCGCCGCATTAATAGCGCTAACAAAGAAATTTCAGGCCTTTGACCCTCGATCTAGCACATAGGATCTCCCGTGGCTTGAAAGCTGCCCACACCAAGGGCATCCTCCCATGGCTTCGACCGGACACCAAGGCACAGGTTACCGTGGAGTATGATGAGGACAGAGGCAGAATGGTTCCGACTCGGGTCCATAACGTGGTCATTACTGCCCAGCATACACCAGGTGTCACGGTCGAAAGGCTGCGGCAGGACATACTAGACAAGATAGTCCGCAAGTCAATTCCAGCGAAATATCTGGATGACCGGACCGCGTATCATGTATGTCCTCGTGCTCAAGATCCATACTGTGCTCTGAAACTCATTAAAAGCACCTGCCACTAGATCCAGCCGACAGGAGATGTAGGAGTCAGCCCATCAGGCAAGTTTGCCGGCGTAACCGGTCGCAAAATTGTTGTGGACACCTATGGGGGTTGGGGCGCCCATGGGGCGGCGCTTTTTCGGGAAAAGATTTTCGCCAGGTATGCTCCCTTAATTCTGTAAAGATCTGGCCTAAGTCTCTCTTTCTAACCTGTTTGAGGAAAATACAGGTCGATCGGTCCGCGGCCTACATGGCGCGGTGGATTGCCAAATCACTTGTCCACCATGGCCTCGCCCGCCGGTGCGTCATCCAGCTGTCTTACTCTATCGGCATAGCGGAGCCATTGAGTATTTTTATCGATACTTTTGCTACCAGCAAACTCACTGCAGACCAGTTGAAGGAGATTATCCGCAAGAATTTTGATCTCAGGCCGTCAGCTATTGCGAAAGACCTCAACTTGTGTAATCCGATCTACTACCAGACTGCCAAGAACGGACATTTTACTAACAAGGAGTTCCCTTGGGAGCAACCATTTGACTTGGTGCTGTAAGGGTCCTTGCTTTTCGAATTATTTGAATCGCGAGGATAATAATTAAAAATCCTCCAATATCTTTGGTTGCATCGCAACTCTGGAATTGGAAGTCTATAATCGCCATTACTATACCTAATAAGCTCCCCAAATAAAGTCTATCCGCAAATAGTGACAAGCTTATTGACTTTTTCTACGGAGTACTACTCGGTTTAATCTTACGGCTACTCTACTAGTTGGTTTAGTACCCCGTGGCTTAAAAAATATCTTCTTCATGAATATCTTGACCGCAAGGTATCAATCTTCGTATTATTTAATGCGATATAGACTGTCTTCACAGAAATAGGCGAATACTCATCACGCAAGGTACATTACATGATTAACGCACTGGATAAATATAAACCTATCCCATACCAGATACTACTATCTCAAGTCTACGTAGTCCTTTATATGACAAGAACAGGTAACTTATTATTCTCACAAAGCACATATCCTATTTATAAGTTAACCATATTCGCCAAGGACAAGGACACAGTTCCCCCAAGCTTTCCAAGGTCTTTAAGGTTATTTCCGGATATAGTCCTAGTTAGGGTTTGGAGCACCAGGCTGATTGTGGAAGAAGGACAAGATAACAACACCAGATCAGTCAGTCATTAGACTTAATGCGCTTTATCTTGAACCCCTTGCTGATACCTATATAACCCAATGGTCATTGATGTGCATGCCATGACATCATTAGGGGATGGGATGCGATGTAAGGGCTTTCGAGGAATGTGACTTGATGACAACTGTGTATTCGACATTACTGGTGATGCTTGGAATATTGGTCATCTTATAGCGGGCAACTAACCCCATAGGGTACCGTGGAAGTTGGCTCACCAATGATTCAAAGACCTTCACAACCAGTAGCCAGTCCTGAACGTAACACAACGCAAACGGTAGATGCAGAGGCTAACTCATTTAGAAAGAAGAAGTAGAAGAAGTCATATTAGCAACGCTGTGGAGGAAGCTGTATTTATGATGGTTTCCAGCTCCATGCCCAATGGACGTAGGTGATAAAACCCTGTACTACTGCCCAAATGCAAGGTGACTCTGTCATTGTTAGCAACAGTCAAGAAGTAATCCAGCTAGCAACATGAAACTATTCATCTCTTTCATTCTTGGCCTTGGCTGTCTTGCCAAGGTCGCCAATGCGCGTCCTGGGGCGCTGAACATTCCTGGTGGAGTGCCTTTCCTGTTTAACGCAGTTGCTGTGTTCAATTATCCCAATTAGAGCACTCAGCAGCCCCGAGAAAGCACCCTGGAAGGCGCCAACTTCTTTTGCTATGCTACTAATGAAGGTTTCTTGAGCTTCGGCTAGTACGGAATTCATTCCCCTGCGGCATACACTAAACCCTAACAAAGTAACCCTGAAAGTGTCCGGTTGTTGACAAATAGACTACCAGGTGGCTAGAAGCCTCTCCAGGGACCAATTACTCGCATTGTCGCCCCGATTCACCTAATTTCGTCTATTACGAATACTCGGACAAAATATACGGATGCACCGAGAAGGGCTGCAAGGCGCATGTAGTCAATTACTGGGCTTCCAACAATAGCTTGAATTTTGTAACAGACTACGTCTACAGTGATGCAAATCTTGCGCCTCCAGAGTTAGGTACTCTGAGTACATTTTACCGCGATGAGAAGCAGGGACCCTCAGCAGTGGGAACCAGACATGTCCTTTCCTCTACACCATCCACCGCATCGGACTGCTGTAAAGCATTGAAGATATTGCGCGGGATTAGGGATAAATATAAACTTAAGCTAGACTTTGATCTCAAAGATATCTGTCCGCGGCAGAAGACGTTCGGAAATTCATGGTGGCACTGGGGTCAGCTTCCGATGGATAGGGGATGCAATAGCCAAGGTAACTTTGGCAACGAGCTTCATTAAGATGATTGCTTTAGGTTGCCTAATATAGCCCACCCAATAAAATTCCTAGGAACTAAGTTGATTTCCATTTTTTGCGGATATATTGAGAAAAGGGCATTCAGATAAGGTTAGGGTCATGTAACTGTTAACCATACAGTGCGCAGGTAAAATCCAATTAGCTTGTGAGAGTTAACCTACAATTCAAACAAGCTATGTAAAGAGCAGATTTCAACAGCGCCAGTCACACCGGTATGGTGCAAGGGCGGATTGTGGACAAGGGAGTTCGACATCAACTCCCCTGTTAGATTGTGGAAAGCAGGTAGCTGCAACAGATGCTTTCAGGGAGCCATGGATTAATGCTATATTGGGTGACTAAGCTCTAGGTGAGTAGGCTCATAGCTAGAGCTGTGTGAGTGAGGTCTAAGTTGTGTGAGTAAGGTATAGGGGTGCAGGCTTTTAGTTAGGGCTATGTGAGTAAGCTCTAAGGTGTGTAACTAAGGTATAGGTAAGCAGGCGCACTGTGAGGGCCTTATAAGCAAGGCATAGGGTATACTAGTAAGCTATAGGTGAGCATGCCCATAGCTAGAGCCACGCAACCAAGGTTTACAGCGCGTGAGTAAGGTCTAGACTAGGTAACGAGGCCTGTAGCTAGAGCCTCGTGAGTATGGTCTAGGCCACACAAGGGAGGTATAGATGAGTAGGTGTGTAACCAGACCCGCGTGAGCATGGTCTAGGGTGCATGACAGAGGTCTAGGTAAGTGAGGTTATAGCTAGAGCTGTGTGAGTGAGGCCTAAGGCGCGCAACTAAGGTCTAGGCATGTAAGTAAGATTGAGGTGAGTAGGCTTATAGTTAGGGCTCTGTAAGTAAGGCGTTGGGCGCGTGAGCAAGGTATAGGGTATGAAAGTAAGGTCTAGATAAGCAAGGTCATAGCCAGAGCTGCGTGAGTAAGATCTAGGGCGCATGACCATGGCCTAGGTTAGTAGGCTTGTAGCCAGAGCCATGTGAGCAAGGCCTAGGGCCGCCCTTGGCCATTAGCTGGGCCTTAGCTGGCCTGCTAGCCTGGCTATACGGGAGTGGGCTTGTGCTGATCTGATTGGCTCGCGCCGTGGCCGGCGGCTGCCGTTGGTGGGATTGGCGATGGTGACTTGGCTCGGGTTATCACCGGTAGCTGCCGCCGGGCCCTCGTGGGGCTGGTGGGATGTGGCCAGCGGCTGCTGTGGGTCCAGATCCTACTAAACCATATTTAGTGCCAGGGGCCAGATCCCCGCAGAACTTCCTGACAGGGACCATAACCTGGTTATCAACCACACCTAGGCCAGGAGCGGGATTCGAGCTGTAGGAGGGCTATCAGGAAGGAGCCTTATAGCCAGATTACTCACTAAAAACCATCAGTAGTTCTGGTTCCCATACAAAATGCCCGACGGGGTCGTCCGGAGCTCGCTCGTAGGATTAGTATGAGTACCCCCTCAGGTACTGGGCCATTATAATGTTTGGTCGGGCATAACGTTCGCGATATGCGGCATACTTGTCATCTTCAAAGTAGTGGCGCTGCGTGTAGAAAACACGGCAACTTACAAGACGACTACTCAATGAAGGAACTATAGCAATTCAATGGTAATTATTATGATATATGTATTCAGCTCGGTTGCCTCTGCATTTGCATTACACTAGGGAAAAACCCACGATAAGACGTAGGATCAAAAAACCATAGTAAGGCATGTACCCGAGCAAGATGCTAATCAGATGAAGACAAGAAAAAATTGCCATATTTGGGTGAGGACATAACTATGGTTGTGAAATTACGCCCCCAGTATCATATAGCGCCAGCATCACGGAAGATCAAACTCAAGATGGCCATCGATATTTCTGATATGTTCAGCAGTATTAATATCAGCTTCATCAGCGTGGCCCGGAAACTTAGCACAAAGTATGGGCTGCTTAGCACCTCCTTCTCTAAAGGTAAACCTAATACTGCCTGGAACTGCGTCATGTGTAAAGCCGCTCTTTCTCCATGAAAATCTACCTAAAACACGGTCAATGCATGACTGGCAGATTACAATGGCAGAAAGGGCTGTACCATTTTCGTCTCCAATGTGGTCATCAAGATCAAGTCAACTGTCTACATATTGCCCGCGTTCGTTCCGGCACTCTGCATGCAGGTAGGTTTGACCATTCATCAGACAAATTTCACCATTTCAAGAGCTATCTTGCCAATTCCCGGCCATTTTTGTAGAAGTGGAGTTCTGCTATTGAGAGTAAGATTGGGAGTAAGTGCGTATTTGAAACACCTGCGCACAATAAAGCAACTGTTTCCCAGCGGTCTTTATATCTCTCAATCAGAGCGAGAAGAACTAAACAGGCATCTAGCAGTTAGTATGGATGCGTCAGGCATCACATCATTAATATTTAATAATGATGTATCTATTGCAACCTTGCTAAGTGCAATCATGGTAACTCTCTTTTCTCTTGCCACATCTTGGAGGACTGGATGGACTTGTCCTAACTCATGAAAATAGTGACATTAGCATGATTCCACGGGGAAAATAGGTGCTGATCCGTGGCGGAGACTGAGTCTCCATGCGGACCATAGATGGACCAAGCAGTGAGCATTAGGCCCATATGATGATCCTAGGTTTCCTTGCAAACCATAAAATATTAATATTTAGACCTATCGTTTGCAGAATCATGGCAAGACGTATTAGTTGTGGCAAATAATTGGTTGAGCACATAGGTCTCATGAACACTGAATCCATAGGGATGGTTTTGAAATCAGCGTCATATCCCGTAATGTGTGAAGAAATTATTGTTGTTTGGCTAAATACAGCCTGGCTAAGTGCACTGAAAACGCAACTATCGGGCAGCCTAATCCGGCTTAACTGTAGTTGATGCTATCTGGGTCTCCGACAGATGCTGATCCGTGTCTAGCTAGCTCTTGTTCAGTCGCCGCTTTGTCGTGCTCCTGGCCAACCAGCTTCCGAAGGGCCTCCTTTGCTTCCTTCCGCGCGATCTCACGATGAGCTTTTAAGGCATCCTCAGGAGACGGTCGGCCGTTGAGCACAGCCTTCTTTGAGACCGATACAGACGCCAATGCCTGAGGTTTTCGTGGGGATACGAGGGTGGAGAGAAATCACACAAAACCGCGGGAAAATGAGGCGGATGATGATGCTGAAGTCCGTTTCATGTCCAGGAAGGATGACTGTGCTGAAGAGAAGAAGAACAGCAAGGAAGTAGGCAAGACTAGGTACCGACCAGCCTTCCCCCAAACCCACCAAAAAAAAAAAAAAAAAAAAAAAAAGAAAAAAGAGTTTACCAAAACCTTAGCCTCATGTCATGACTGTTGCAGACTTGTGATCCCTGAACCTTTTTCTTTTGCTGGACATGCTTCCACAGCGGCCAATGAACAGGCAGCAAACGAGGGACCTCCTCATTCACTAGCCGTCGTCAGTGCGAGAAGGGGTCGATGCCATGTGTCGCCCGCAGAAACTGTACTGACTTCCAAAATCTATAATGTCCAGTTATTCATGTGCCATAGGTAGGATATAGGAAACTATGGCTTCCGGTATTTCCAGCTTTTACGATCCCGAGTTGCCCTATAGAGATGACTATACGACCTAGATGATTTGGGGGAATCTCCACATGTCTGTGTGGTTTATCTCACCTCCGCTGTGTGTTGACTCTCTTAAGTTGAGGGTCTTATCGATGAACCAACGGTCCTCCTGTAGTTCTCTTGCTAATCCCACCAATGAAACAGTCGAGGCAGATAATCAGATCCGGAGTAGGTGAAATCATAACTTTGAGCAAATTTTTATGCATGATATTACCCGGAGTCTAGGATTATCCTAATCACTGGCTAGCTACTTACTTCGGCATGGCCGAAGGTTTAGTTAGATCTTGACTTTCCACTTAACCCTAGGGATCGGCTTTCTTCTCCGCCAATACATTTGGCCGTATTAACCGTTTGCGGATGAGAATTAGGATGACAATAATATAATGAGGTCATGAGGTACTTGCACAGCGTTCAAAATAGATATTTGGTTATTTTGATCCACACCAAAACATGGATGGGATGGTGGCTCAGTGAGCTGAAAGGCTTTGCAAGAGGCATCGCCAAATCAATGAAATTTCACCCTCATGGGACCTTGCGCAGCTATAGGAACATAGAGAGCCTGGCCCCCTTTGTGATAGTACTCGGTGTTGTAGAGCAAAAGATATAAAATCCGTCTGCAAAGTTTGCTGGAAGTATTTAGTATCTGTTCCCTTCCAGGGCTTTGGATTCAAATAAATGGCAATTTTTCTATTTCAGTGGCGACACCGCCTCATTCCATATAGGTGAGACGCCTATGGGTGAAGCACTCCAACTAGAGTTGCATTTGGTGCGAGTTCGGGCGAGTTCAATCATAGTTAGACCCGAACTGCTGCGATTTCGAGTTCAAATTTTAGAACCCGCAACCAAACTGGACCCGATCCAGTTTGGTTACAGTTTTAACTGCAAAACCCGCTGCTAGGCCTAGCTAGGCCGATCATAACTACAACCTTGTTAATAAGTGGCTCAATCAACCTTTGAAGGAGATCATACCTTGTCTTCCTCACGAAGGAAAATGCAATAGTATTATTCATGCCATGTCTCTTCGAAAACCCAATGTTGCCACATTATGTCTTGTATCAGCTATTACTGCCTTATTACCGCAGATACTCCAAAATTGTCAATCATTCCTGCTGCCGACCTGTTTAGAAGCGTCCGCCTGGACTACATCGCCGCAATCCTTCATGGATCCTCAGTATCACCGCCGAACGCCAGCCCATACTGTTAATGGTGAAGATATGATACCTCATGAGGACGAGCTTCGACTATTATACTTGACGGATCTTGACTCCAAGATTTACGGAATGCCACCTCTGAGCCCTTATCGGCCAATCGGATTTGTGAGTCTTCGAGATTCCTCTTTAGAGGTCAGATTACATGCAAATTGTGGTCATAAATTGTCCTATCTTTCCTGGGAGTGGACGATGAACTCTGGGCAATGCTTAAGCGACTATGGTGCTACATACAGGGTATCCCAACATATGTTCCGGGCCAGGTATAACTTGACAAAGATCGTCCTTGGGGTCATGACTACTACTACTGCTACTATGCTCTCTATTTGGTGCTTTGGGAAGGTGCGTCTTATCTATCTCTTGGTTAATCGCGTTGCTAATGTTCACCTAAAAGCTAAGCCTTCTTCTCATGGGGTTACCTCTCATTACACCCTTTATTCCAACGGCTATATCGCTCGGGGTGCCTGCGACGGAATCGTTACTATCGAAGGCAGTTGCGATAGCGTTATTGACCAAATCGTTTTTGCACCAGCTACCTCCCATACTTCTTCCACAGCGCCTTAAATACCACCCATGAATCCAATCAGTAAGCATAATACAACGTAGTCTCATCATTCGACTGCCGTATCTTGCGATTCGTGCGAATCAACCACAGCTTCATGATCCATGCGCTGGTCGCACACGCTACGCTGAATGCTGTACTCGACGCCATGGCGATGGTGTATCGCGGCTCATCCGATTTCGGCCATAGGTACTGAAAGAGAGTCAGAATGCAGGACTTATACATGGCTTTCGGGAGGAGGACTCACTGGAGTCCATATAAACGACACATTAGCAATAGTATTAACAATCGCCAACGCCGACGCCTTCTTCTCATTGGTCTGACCACACGTACTCGACACCCACCCGAGGATGATACTATTGACCGCATAGGTGCCAATTGAGAAGACCACCATGGCAAAGTATCTCGCCCCGACATTCAGCGTCGCACACCCCAGCACAAACCCGACAATAGCGATCGTTTTCGCAACCGTGATATGCCAGGTACGCTCATTATACCTTCCCGAGCTCCACGACCAAAAGACCGATATAATGCCAGCAATCAGATACGGCGGACAGGTCAGCACAAGCGTGATGGTGGTGTTGAAGCCGAGGGTCTCGACAGCCGTGGGGAAGAAGTTCTTGAACCCGTTGGCGGCGAGATGCATGTGCTGCATGAAGGCAAAGAGCCAGAGCCGCGGATCGCGCGCGGCTTCCTTGAGCCCGCTGAGCGTGCTGGTCTCATGGCGCGCGCCGACGGTGTCGGCGACGATGCGGGAGTGCGCGAGGGCGCGCTCTTCGGGCGTGAGCCAGCGTGTCTCGCGCGGGTCGTCAGGTAGTGTGAAGATGGAGAGCACGGCGACGACAAAGGTCACGGCGCCTTGCAGGATGAAGAGCCATTGCCAGCCGCTGATGCCGCCGAGGTCGTCCATGCCGTGGAAAATGCCGGCGGCGATGAGCCCGGCGAAGGCTGTGGCGAGGATGTTGCCGGTGTAGAGGACGGAGATGCGAGTGGCGATCTCTTTTCGGGTGTAGAAGATGGAGAGCAAGTAGAGGGCGCCTGTGGGGTTAGTGTGTATGCGGTAGTTCTATGGTGAAGGACGTACCTGGGTAGTATGGAGCTTCTATGGAAGAGTAAGCATGTCTTAGTCTGTATAAAAGGGTCGTAGACACGTACCAGTCACACCGAGAAAGAATCTCGTAAGTAGTAGACCCTTGAAGTCCTTTGCCAGGGCAGTGAGAGAGCTCACTACAGCCCACAGAGCCATGAAGCCAGCCATATACCATGAAGGTCTGACTCTTGTCAGGATCATGTCTGGAGCAGTCAGCTAGTGAACAGATCCATCCGAGACAGTGGCTCTTACTGCTAGGTACCTGTCCAAGGAGGTACCCAACAAACAAAATAGAAACGCATGTCTGGTACTGGGACGAAGACAAGTTGAGATCCTCTTCCAGATCGTTGAGGCGAGCCAGTGCAATCGCATTACGGTCCAGGTAGTTCAACCAGTACATGACCCATAGAGTAGGCATAATCCAGAGATCAAGCTTCCGAACGAGACGAATCTCGACAGGGTCGGTCTTTTTCTGCGCGCCAGAGTAGTCTGTCTGCTTTGCGGGCTGCTTGACACCCTCAGAAGTAACTGTGTATTCGCGGTGCAGAGCCGTCGGGTTGTCCTCTGGGTCTATGTCATGCTTGTCTGATTTCTCAGTTTCCATGTTGGAGCTGTCCTTGGGTTGGACTTAAGAAGAGTGGCAGGGACAGAAGATTGTGTATTCCTTAAAGACAAGATGAAATAATGTAGCATTGCCTCAGAAGGCGACCCGACCCCGGGACAGGGCCTTTTATATGCTTACACACACCGTCGCCTCCAGGCCCTTCCCAACCATCTGTCTCATCCGACTGTCACTCCCATCAAATGAACCCCGCAGACTCCCCACGCTACACCACGTGGAAATGGTGCGGGGATCTGGGTCCGGGGAAGTATGAAAGGCAAAGAGAGGTATCGTTGAGCGTCATGCGGTCCGGCCAAGACAAGTCCAAGAGCATCCAAGACCAGCTCTACCCCAATGAACAGGGATGGTATACCGATCTCAGACCAGCAAACACACAAACCACCCTTGTAGATGCAACCTTTGCCGCTCCAAGCCCTTCCAAGACGACCAGCTCACGCCCAGAGCGCCCTTTCACGAGGGAAGAAGTCAAGAGGTGATGCGGCAGCTGCTGGAGTGGACAGACGATGAGCTCATTCGACTGCCGGCTGAACAAGACATAGGCTTTCCATATGACCGGCTGCCGCTACCCAGGACGCTCCCAAGGTTTGCACTGCCTCCCCCGGAGATTTGCCAAGCTCTTCCTGTCGTGTATATCCAGAGCTTCCTTGCGGGGCACAGCATCAAGACAATGAACGCACTTGGCGGGTTCTCGGCGGGCGGACGATGGCCGAAGCTGTTGGACCAGGAAAGAGTGGTATTGGAGAGTGTGCTGACGGCCAAGTCTAGATAGAGTTTATATCAATCTCGTAAGATCGGAAGTAATAGGCACAGCCCTTGGTCGGACACGATATGCCCGGGAGATTTTCGTACGCTAGACTGGGCATTTGATGTCCGGGGGTTGGCCAAGATGTTGGCGCAGGAGCTGACCAATGGGTCGGGCAGGCAGTTCAACAAGGTCTTGGAAAACTTCGGCAAGGTCTCAAGTTATCGCCAAGAAAGAGTTCAACAAGGTCTCAAATGCTATGTAATCCAATCTAATCTAAATAGAATTTGAGACCTTGTTGAACTTCATCTTGGCATATTTTCAGCCGTTGTTGAACTTTGTTTGGGTTTGTGTCAACCGATCCCCGAGAATAGCGAATCTACGGGAATCGCTAGTAAGCGGGATGTTTCGGGATCAAAGAAGGTCTGATTTCTGGCAATCTAGATGTCTAACTATCTACTTATAATTAATGAAATGAAAACTCTGTAAAATCTCCTTAATCTGGTGAGTTGAATCCATGGTAGAATCTAGTGATCTGATTGGCCTAGCCAGAATTTAGTTAAATATTAATATCTGATAATCACTAAATTTAATAGTAGTAAGATATGGCTGATATACCCCCCAGGTAAGCAGGCATCATGAAGCTGAATCTAATATTTATAATCTAGTGCTATAGATATTAAATAAACTTTTAATACTTCCCTATTTAGGAAGGTGAGATAGATGGTTAGTGCTATAGATGTCTATCTTATTTATCTAATACTAATTTTAGATTAAATTAATTAATCTTGATCTGGATTAACAAGGCTGATCTACCTCATGAATTCATAGTATTTCTAGCGCAGGCGTATCTTTATAAGGCTATCTATAGGTATCTTACTTATCTTAATCTATTAAATAGAAATATAGCTGGCTTGAACTTCCTGCTAGAGCTAGTGCTAGTGGATATTAATATATCTAAGCTTTATATGTATCTTTAGCTTGTTGCTAGTAAATAGATCTACTATTAATAAATTATTATATAAGATGGAGATTTAATGCTCTGGATTAAATTAAATTAATATAAATAATTATTTCCACTAATAGATATTCTTTGTAGCTCCTGAAATGGCTAGTAATTTAGCCTTAGTAGTAGATATAGTAACTATCTTCTGCTTCCCTGCCTTCTAATTAATAGCTCCTCTGTATAGTAGGTAGATATAGCCTTCTGAGCTCTTATAATCTAAATAGTTACTATAAGCAGTATTACTAGCTACTATATAGACCTCTCTGCTATAGTATTTAATAGTATATCTTATAGAATAATTCTAGGTCCCTTAAAGGTATTAGATTACCCAGTTAACTAATTCCATATGCTTTGGCAAAGAGTTGGTAGTGTAGTGGGCAAGGCCCACTGAGTGCTCAAGCCTACCAGTACTTGCAATCTGCCTTAGGCATTAATGAACTCCTACTACTAGATACGGTGTTGTGTGCGGACTCCACAGTTCCCATACTAAATACAGGCAACTGCAGCGCCTCCATAGCGCAGACTCCACAACCATCCTCCATCCACTCTGGACTCCATAGTCCTGACTATCCCACCTTAGCGGACTCCACAGTTCCCTACTAGCGGTGTTGTGCGCGGACTCCACGGTTCCCATACTAAATAGGGCCGACCGCAGGGCCTGGTGACCGCAGTTTCCACGTCCATTCCCCGTCCAGTCCGGACTCCACGGTCCTGATCATCCTGCCTTGGCGGACTCCACGGCAATGGCCCATAGCTTAGTCAATTCTTGATATTTTTGAATGGTTTAAAATGCTTTATGAATCTAATTAGCTAAATTATTATATTCTAATATCAAATCCTTGATTATTCGCTAGCAAGGTGGTTAAACTAGGGGGGTAGGTGCCAGGTCAAAATTTTTTGTTGGGGTGTGCCAAGATGATTATTTGCGGGAAGCCTATACCCTTTTAGGCCACCACCTAGCCTGGATTAGTGCCTGAGGCATCTATTAACCTAGAAGGGCCTTAGAATTCAGGCAGAAATTATGAGAAAAATAATTAGTAGTATTTATTAAAAGCCTAGTACTAGGTGACTAATAATAAATATTTTTAGTAAATAGTAGGGACTTTTAGCTATAGAATGATAATAGTCTGATTATGTAAGCATGATTCCTAATTTTTTAAAAATCCTTAAAAGACACTTTGAAATTTATTACCTGCTGACTAATTATAATTATTTTTAGTTAATAGGCCAAATTTTAACTAGAAGAATGATATATAGTATGCTTAGTAATACTAAGCCTAGAATTTTTAAAAATTCATAGAAGTTAATGTTTTGTGGATTTCATTTAGAGAGTAGGTCTAGACTTAGTAGTATAGTAGGGAGAGGCCTATAAGCAGGCTACCTAGACCAGTTAATTTAGCTACAATAGGTCCCTGCGTGGGGTATCTCAACTAGATGATTCGGCTTCGATAGGTCCCTGTGCGGGCTATCTTGACTAGATGATTCGGCTTCAATAGGTCCCTGCGTGGGCTATCTCAACTAGATGATTCGGCTTCGATAGATCCCTGCGTGCGCTATCTAGACTAGTTAATTTGGTATGGCTCAGCCTAGTGATTCGGCTTCAATAGGTCCCTGGTGTGGGCTATCTAGACTAGTTGATTTGGTATGGCTCAGCCTAGTGATTCGGCTTAGACAGGTCCCTGCGTGGGCTATCTCAACTAGATGATTCGGCTTCGATAGGTCCCTGTGCGGGCTATCTCGACTAGTTGATTTGGTATGGCTCAGCCTAGTGATTCGGCTTCGACAGGTCCCTGCGTGGGCTATCTAGACTAGGTGATCCAGCTTCGATAGGTCCCTGCGTGGGCTATCTCAACTAGATGATTCGGCTTCGATAGGTCCCTGCGTGGGCTATCTAGACTAGGTGATTTGGTATGGCTCAGCCTAGTGATTCGGCTTCGATAGGTCCCTGTGTGGGGTATCTAGACTAGATGATTCGGCTTCGATAGATCCCTGCGTGGGCTATCTAGACTAGTCGATTCGGTATTGCTCAGCCTAGTGATTCGGCCTCGATAGATCCCTGCATGGGGTATCTCAACTAGGTGATTTGGCTTCGATAGGTCCCTGCGTGGGCTATCTAGACTAGGTGATCCAGCTTCGATAGGTCCCTGCGTGGGGTATCTCAACTAGATGATTCAGCTTCAATAGGTCCCTGTGTGGGGGGTCTAGTCTAGAAGATTTGATATGGCTTAGCCTAGTGATTTAGCTTTAATAGGTCCCTGCGTGGGCTCTCTTAACTAGGAAATTCAGCTTTGATAGATCTCTGCATAGGCTATCTAGACTAGGTGATTCAGTATGGCTCAGCCTAGTAATTTAGCTTAATAGGTCCCTGTGTTAGCTATCTTAACTAGGTGATTCAGCTTTAACAGGTCTAAAATATATATATAGTAGGGTCATTCAGATGTAGGTAAAGCTTTAGTTAGTAACTATATATATAGTAGAGTCATCTAGATCTAGGGAGATATTTAATTTATGAATATATATTTACATATAAATATATATAATAAAGGGAAATAAATATATTTAACTTATACTAGCCTAGTAATTCTATAATTATCTAGACCTATCTAGGCCTATCTATTATATCTAGTAGAATAAGATATACTAAATCTATAAAATAATAGGGCCCCTTTATAGTAGGGGGAGGATAAGGGTAGCTTTTAGAGCTAGGGAATAAGGGATTAGGTATATAAGTATTTAATATACTCTATAAGAGTAGATAGATTAGTTAATTAAAGATAGGATAGATATAACTACTAATAAGAATAAAGAAGATAGTAATTTAAAAGATAATAATAAGAATTACTTTATATATATATCTTTATATTTAAGTATATAAGCAGGATAATATATATAGATTAGTTTAGTAGTTTAGGTTTTAATATATATAAAGTATTTAGAATAAAATATTACCTTAGAATAGCTAGATAGATATAATAAGTATAACTTAAAGTAGTAAGGGTAAGAGTAATAATTTAAGAGAAAAGAAGAATATATAAAGAGAGAGATATATTAAAAAGTAAAAAAGTTTAATAGAGTAGATATATATTATTAATAAATATATATAAGAAGATAAAAGAGAATAATATAAAAGAGAGATTATTTTATAAGAAATAGTTTAGAAAAGAGAGAGAAATTAATTACTTAAATAGAATTAAGATAGAATATAAGAATAAAAAGAAGTAAAATAATAATAAATAGATTAGTTTAAGATAAAATAAAGAAAAAGAGAGAATAAAGAGAAAGATTATTTAAATAATATATAAAGTAGAAAAGGGTAATAAGAAGTAAATATATATATATATAGAATAGTTTAAAAGTATAGAGAGAGCTTAGGTTTACTTTAATTATAATATAAAGAGGAAAAGGAGGAAAAAAAGGATATAAAGAAATAAAAAAATAAGAGATAGTTAGATTAAGAGAAAAAGAAATAAAATAAAATTATAAGAGATTATTTTACTAAGGAGAAAAGAAAAGAATAAAAGTTAATTAATTAGAAAGAAAAGAAGAATAGGGAGTAAAATAATATAGATTATTTAATTAGAAAAAAGAATAAAAAAGTTAGGTTTTAATAATTTATAAAGATGAAAAGAAATAAATAAATAATATAGGAAGTTAAGGATTAGAATAAGAATTAAAGAATAAGTTAAAAAAGAATTAAAAAAAATAAGAGTTAGAAAAAGAATTAGAATAAGGTGCTAGAAAGAGAATTAGAATAAGAATTAGAATAAGAATTAGAATAAGAATTAGAATAAGAATTAGAATAAGAATTAGAATTAGAATATAAATAAGAGTTAGGGATAGTAAGTTAAAGGTTAGAATAATAAATAAATAAAGAAAAAAAAGATAGATATATAATAAAAAAGAAGAAGAGGAGAATTAGAATAAGAGCTAGAATAAAAAATTAGAAAGAGAATTAAAATAAGAATTTTAATAAAAATTAAAAGAAGAGTTAGGGGTAGTAAGTTAAGAGTTAGAATAAGAATTAAAAAAAGAGTCAGAAGAAGAGTTAAAGATAGTAAGTTAAAGATTAGAATATAGATTAAAAAGAGAAAGAAAATATAGATAAATAGATAGAAGATTAAATAAATAAAATAGAAAATAAAAGAAGGATAAGAGGAGAATTAGAAAGAATTAGAAGAAGAGGTAGAGAGAGAAATAGAAGAATAGTTAAGGATAGTAAGTTTAGAATTAGAATAAGAATTTGAGGGAGGGTTAGAAGGAGTATTAGAGTAAGGATAAGAGAGTAGACCAGAGTTCAGAGTAGGGGAAAGGTGGATTAGAGAAAGAAAGGCGGGAACCACTAACTGCTATGGGTTAGAAATGGACGCGAAGCGTAACCGCTATGGGTTAGAGATGGGCGCGAAGCGTAACCGCTATGGGTTAGAGATGGGCGCGAAGCGTAACCGCTATGGGTTAGAGATGGGCGCGAAGCGTAACCGCTATGGGTTAGAGATGGGCGCGAAGCATAACCGCTAGGGTTAGGGTTAGGGTTAGGG